AATGGTATTTTTTACAAATGGGAAAGGAGTGGAGTTACTTCGTAGGATTGTTAATTTTTGTGTATTGTAGATGTCATGGAAAAAGTGTGTTTAAAATTGTAACCACGAAAGCGTAGGGTCCAAGGTGCAAACATTTCCTTGCGCCATTGCCAAGTAACGTTTAAAAATCAGTTTATTAATCAAAGATGAACACCTCATTTGTTTATACGAGATGCTAATAAAATTATAAATAAAACAGTAACCGGTAAAAAGGTCGAAGACAGTTAATTTGTGTTCTCTTTTGCTGTAGCCCTAAGTAATAAGGGTAATTTTGGACATATCCATACTGTGGACATTAATACTTTGATGAAGAACCTGAAGCACGGGGTTGTGCCAATTTCAAATTCGTCAACCATCTTTCGAAATTCACTTTCAACGAGTAACTAAATAAAAGCCATCCTATTTTCCAAATTGCTGCTAACCTTCCAAAGGAGAAAATCAGCTTTCCATGGGAGAATCTTTCTACGTATCGATAAATGAAAGTGATTTGAACTTTTTGCTTTGTGTAAAAACAGGATCCACCGTTTTTGGGGAATTTGTATAAAAAATGTCCACTTAAAGTCATTCTAACGTTCCTGAAGAGGTCGATTTACGGGAATTTATTCCGTAAACCAATGTTAGTACTCAAAACAAAGATATAGGTACAGTTTTTCTCATTAATTGTTCATGAATACCATTCTTTTGTGTGGGTTAAATGTTGTTTAGCATCCAGTGTAAATTTGTTTTTGAAAGGAATTTTCGGAAGTCGGAAACCAAAGATTCAGGTTTTTGAGTTTCGGATTATAAATCGAGATAAAGAATCAACAAGGGGGGACGTACTCTCGGGAGTTAAAAATGCGAGAACCGTACTGTTCCGCATGAAAGAGAAGGGCACAGCTTAACAGCTGCTTGTGGTGTACGGATCGATGTCAGAGAGAGTGCGCATACATCAATTTTAATTAAGGGTAGTCTTGACTTGATTTTTTTAGGCAACCCATTTGCAATGTGTCTGGTAGCATATTAAGATTGTTAAAAAATGTATTTCACTTCGTAAACAGATGAGTTGAGTTGGATCTTAGAATAATATAGAAAATGATATACAGAAGGAGAGAGTTCCAGCTTAACTTCAATCGCAATAGCGTGGGAGTTCTCCGTTCAATTTTACGATCGCATAAGTTTAATCGCACGTCTTTAGAGGAGATAGCTGCAATGAAGAGAACTGGAGAATATAAAATCGGCAGTGTAAATTTTAGTGCATCACGAAGCAAATATAAGGCGTCTGTGGGTCTGAATTGGAGTAGGGCCTAGTATAATTCGTCGGAGATAAAATACGTAATGTATCGAAATTCCGATAGAGATCATTCGCTTTAGTGCAGCTCGTAAACATATTCAACTGTTCCATTGCAAGTGATATTAATTCACTACACGGGGAAAGCTAATTTTTAAACTAACGGATAAAGTAAATAAACAAAAAGGCAAATTAAACGAACATTTAGTGACCTCATTCCCAATGGTGGCATTAACAAACTCGTTGAAAATTGGAGACGTTCAAATCGCATTTAAAGTGGCACTCAAATAATAAGCGAAAAATTTAAGGTGCGCAAGTTCTGAATGCGGTCGAGATACATACAAGTTTCATTATTTTAGCAATTTTGTACCAGAGTCAGTGGGTCTCAGGGGCTCTATCGTATCGTCTTAAAGCGACTCATTCTCATTTTTCCTTGGAGGGAACCTTTTCTTCAAGGGAGAACCGTACCATTTGTAACCTGCAGAATATCTGCAAGTTACTTTAATTTTGTTTGAATTGTATAAAGTATTGGTCGGCTATCTTTAAGAATTTGCAGCCGATAATCCTTTAACGTGATCATAATATGTTTAAAGCCAACACAACTAAATCAGGACTAGGAACTAGGTTATAGTTTTAAAGCGGTCATGGGTTTTGATTAATAGCCTTAACGCGAACATAAATCGTTGGGCTAATGGTCGATTTAACTAATTAGCGCCATTTTGGGGCGTACTGAAAAAATAAAAGAGGAGTAGGAACGCGTCTTAGACAGATAGCGGAAGAGACTTCAGTTTGGGACCACCAGAGGGTCAACTGCAACTCGAAAGAAAGTCGCGTGTGGAGCCTTAAAACAATTAGACGCAAACCGCGATCAATCGCGCGGAAAACAATCCCTGTATCCAGACGTGAGAAAGTTTCGCGGACACAGGAAGAACCAAAGGATAAAAAACGTGGCGATTTAAATGATTTTTTCCGTCGCAATTCATAAATCATTACTCCTTCATTTTCGAACGCATTCCGGGGACGAAAAACTTACAACAAAGGCGTCGACTACTACACCTGTGGAGAGGGCACATTTTTCATAAAAAACTCATATACCTCGTTACGAGACCCCCAAAATAAGAGAAAAGTTGTTACTTCAGCTGCGCGCCGAAAAACAAAAAGTCCTTTCGTCTACTAAGCTACATATAAGATAAATGTTTGGAATTATTATTTCTAACTGAGTTGAAAATATAGATTTTAAGGTTCAAGTGAATTTTTGTAAGGGTCATAATCACCCTTATTTTTTTCTTAATCTGTGGGATAGTAAATTAGGTTCAAAGAAGATTAGTGGCCACGAAAAAAAAGCAGCTTTAGTTCCGATATTTGTCTCTTTAAATTTATCATTTCATTTTGAATGTAGAAGGTTGTAAAAGGAGCAGATTTTTTGATTAAGCAATTTCACTTAATATACGAGATATTCGTATTTATCTGCAACCAGGCGATGGCTAATATAATCGCTTTGTGCCATTTTGTGGTGTTGTGTAAGTCAAAAATGTAGGTAGAGATTAATCCAGAGGATAGTTTTGAGAGCATTAGTCTGAGGCCATCATTGCGTCAAGTGCGTCGTCCAAAGTGAAGGTTTGAACTCATTTAAATAGGATTAGATTACCTTTTTCATTCAAAGTTGACTTTGTTCAATAAAAAATGCGAAAAATTTAGATTGGACCTATTTTTATCTTGCCAATATATTTAAATTTTATGATAATTCCGTATTTATTATCTGCAAGCTAACCATTCAGAAAAGCAAGCAAGCTTTTAGCTTCAGGTAAAAAGGGAAAAGGAAAAACTTTATGCTAGAGCTAGTCGTGGATAACTAATTTCTTTGCAAAAAGAAAAAAATTACTTTAGTATCAGGAAAATGATGTCAATTTAAGACAAGTGAGAGATATCCAACCCCTTAATTTGCAGCACCCGTTGCAATATACTTCCAAGTCACAAATAACGCAGATGGGAAAATTAGAAAATGTCAGTTTCCATTTTTTGATTTTAAAATTATTATTTATTGGCAACTTTTAAAGACTCTTAAAAAGGTTCAGCTCTTACATATTGTCAAGGATCTTATACATTGAAAGACTCTAAAGCATTGCTTACATTAATCGAAGGGCTGCACAGACTAGCCAAATATTTATTGAAGGAAAAAGTTGATCTTAAATGCTCTTTAACCCCTGAGAAGGTGATCCTATCAACCTCCCTGTAACATGCTACGTTTTGTCAATTTTAAGTGATTTCCGAATGTTGACGATTTTTTTGTAAATTATAAAAATTCCTGTTGTATCGTTAGCAAATTTATCTTTAACATGGACTGTAGAGATAAGGCGTGTGTGTGCGCGAATATGTAGAAGAAAGGCGGTGGGGAAGTGAAAAATGTAACTTAACAGCGGTGCGCGAGGAAATACGGGTTTTCGCTCGAAAGAGGTGTTATGGCTGGCGGGGTTTAACGTTACGTTTTGGATTTGGTCAAAGAAAATCTATGCTGATCAATTTTGTTTAAGGGCAAAATTAAGTCAAATTCGTAGATAAGGCGAGTTGCTCTTATATAATAAATGTTAATTAAAGTTACAAGGGCAGTGCGCGAATAAGTTATCCTACGCGTTCTCAATACGAGTGAAAAATTGTAAAGAAATACGGAGAAAAGGCAAATCGCGCGCATAGCAGTTCAACTATTTACGTGAATTACTAAATTAATTGCACGATAAATCAAACACCTTCTATTTATTAAATGTGGCCAACAAAAAGCAGCGCATTGTTCACTGTATTTGTTTGCGGTTTGTTTATTTGGAAAACTAGCGTCTTGTTTGTGATTGAGGATAATCGCTACGAGAATCTAAGCATTTGGTGGGTCATCAAACTTACGTGAGAAATTCTATTTAAAGAAGTACATCGAATCCATATCTGCAGTCGTTGGTTTCATCGCAATTCGCAACGAGGTAGGTATGGACTTTTGCAAATTCGAGGGAATAAACCGAATCGATTAAAGTTTCGTGCATATTACGGAATTTTTTCAATCAATGATTTGAGTTTGTTTATATTGAATTAATGGTTACATTGTTTACTAGGATAGGTCAAATTATCTGGTCAGCAGGAATATTTTTAGTTCAGTTTAGAAATTAGGGAGTTGTATTTTTTGAGTGTCTGTTGGAATTTGTTTGATTTTCGTTTTTACTCATAATAAATGTATTCTGTTTGAGATAATCTTTTGCGATTTTAATAACAGTTATTACTACGCCACTATGCAAGTTTCATAAACTCTCCAAATATGCAAGAGCATTTCGAAATGTTTCTGCCAGTTAATTTAAGTTAGCATTTTTCTAAATACTGATTGCGAAGTGTTGATTAAGGCGACGAATAACTTCACACTACCTACTAATTTTGTCCTAAAAACTGTGATTGCATAAATTTTATCCGGTTGACAAAAATGGGACAACAGGTTCAAATTTAAACACGCCCGTAAGGTATCGCAGCGAAGTAGGCGTCATTTACAAGAGTTCATTCATGATTCCTTTAATATGCACCGTATAAATTATTTAAATTGAATGCAACTAAACCGACAGCAAATAAATATTCATAAAGCACAGTTTAAGTTACTCAATAACTATATCTCCTATCACTAGCATTAGTGCAATATTTCCTTGAAATATTCAATCAATTAACAAGTTTATAATTTGTGACACATTCGAGGTAGCAGGTTTACCATGCGAATAAATAAAGCCGATGCGATTGTTATCTGAATTACACGTGTAACACGTAACCATTTACATCCTTACAACTTTCCCCAAAATTATACTTTTGACTTACCTTGACGTCCTTAAAATTCACGACGGAATCGGTCGCGAACGTCGTATTTCCCGGAGCCGGCTTATTTTTTACACTGGGGAAGATGATGCCGCCCTTTCGTTTGTCGCCACGCTTTTCCATGCCGGAGCCAGACGCGAGCGTGGACGTCTGCGGTGGCATGCTCTGAGTAATGGTGGAGGATTGCGTGATCGTGATTGGCTGAAAGGTGGTGTAGGTCAGTGGAAGCGTCGTGTCCGTCTGCGCTGGATAGTCTTCGACGCTGTATCGGTTTTGATTGTATTCCACTAGCCGGTCGATTGTCGGATCAAGTAGGAGCTCCGCCGGAACTGGTCGTTGTGCGAGGGTGGCCACGTCATCTTCCTGCTTTTTCAGCCTCCTTTCGACCATATCCAGGTTTTCGATGATTTTATTCGCTTTCGTCCTCAAATCGTTATGGATTTCGCCGATTGCCCTCTCTTGTCGTTGGGTGTGCGTCAGAAGCTCGTCGGATTTGGGAACCAGGTCATCCACTGAGCTTTTCGTACCAACAACGACGTCCCAAACTTCGTCCATCTTTTCGGATACGTTAATGATAGGCTTCATTTGCTTGACGAGCGAGTCGAGCTTGCTACTTCTTGCAATAGGCGGACTGGGGGTTGTTGTCGTGCGATTGCGTGACCTGATCGGAAGATCTTCAGGCTCTACGATCGCTTCGTGTACTTCCGATATCATCCGCAATAGTTTGCTTAGGTTATCTGTGACTGAGTTAAAGTGGTACTGAAGTTTTCGATCCACAGTAGTAGTTGCTGACCTAAGCTGATCCAGTTCTTTGCTAACGTGGCCCATAACCTCGCTATTTAAAGCCTTCGTCATCTCCACAACGTTCATACTGACCGTCCTTTTCTCGCTCGCCTCCGCATTGATGTCTTCAAGCGGCACATTGTTATCCAACTGATTCTTTAACGTGCTCAACTTACTATCGATATCACTTACTTTATCATCCAGGGACGAGAGCCGCTTACTCACGTCGTTCGTCTCGGCTTCTCGAATGAGCATTTGCCCATCGAAGGATCTCGGGTGTGCGCTGTTAAATAATTTCGAGTCTAAATACCTCAACTTGGATATAACAGATTCGGTTTTGTCAATGTTATCCGTCACGCGCGAATCCAAGCCTTCAACCCTTCGCATCAGGTGCTCAACGGCCTTATCTAAGTTTTCGATCCTTTGCAGTTTGGATTCCAGCGTCGAAATGATCGCCTCAAAGATGGTGAAGAGGTATTGCTCTCTGAAACAAGATTACAAAATTAATACATGACCAGAATGAACAGAAAATTTACAGTACTAAAGTTATCACGCGGAACAAATGACTTTCGACTGTTTCTTTCATATGTTTACAAATGGCATTTTTTCAAAACACATACGGTGTTATGTTAGACTAGTCGACCCGATCCGATCTATCGACTGTATTACTCCGGAGCGATTTAAATAAATAAAACTACGTTTACTCTTTGCTAAGACTCTTCAGGTCCGGCTGTTCGATCGAAATAATAAAACATATGGTGGGGTTTTTGTCCCATAGCAGGTTTCCCTGGTATGGTCTTCTTATGTGCGTAATATATTTATTTGTTCTTGTCATTTCTTACGCACAAAAGTTCTGTCTTTTATTTAATTCCCTTCCCGATTATGTCTCACGTCCCAACACTTACAAGAACCGATTACACAACGTAGGAAATCAGTCGTGCCACCCGTATGGAGCCGACTGCCATCCAAATTCCATCGTTTCGACTTGAAAGGTAGATGGCTCTGCTCGTAGTTTTTTCCCAGAGTTGCCAACGGTAAGTCTAGGGTAAGTCAACGTTTTCAGTGCCGGCTATGATTATTACAGTTTCAAGGGAATTTCATCTCAGCTCCGCAAACTTCATTTAAGATTTATATCGTGATACTTCAATATTACCTTAAACTGTACTATATTAAGAACTCCCCGACCGAGATATAGAGGGATGTGGTTGGTTCTTTCTTATTGTGTGTGAAAAAAAGACGCGCCTAGGATAATTTACAGCTTGTTACAACTCAAGATAAGTACTTCATTTCTTTTGTTAGTGTATGGTACCGCTGAATTATATCCGGTCGTTGATAAAGAAGCTACACAGCTTGTGAAAAAAACTGCCAACTTTGCGCTTGCTTTGCAGTTTTAAAAATTATTTTATTCAATTTTGTTTAACATAGGAAAATTTACACATACTTATACCGCTTTATAGTGCAAGTGAACGAAAGTATGTCTGGAGATAAGAGCGACAGTGTTGCGACGGAGAGGTAAAGGGTCTTGAGAATGTATAGAGGTTTATGTAGGAAAACAAGAGAACTCGACGACTTCACGAGCGTGTCGTTTCAGATTTTCCAGCCGGCAAAACAGAAATAGTCAACGCAACAAAAAGCCAGCATTCACAGTTTGACTTCGATAGCAATGATGTGCTAGTTCGTTCGTGAAAATTTTGATCGCGTACCCGTAAGGTTTCGTAGCTTAACTTCAAACGTAAAAACGTACAATTTGGTGCGTTTACTGAATTTCGATACCGAACACAGTTTTGTGTGCAGGTAAATTATTGGGTTCTTCTGCGACCTAGTACAGAAGAGATTATCGTAAAAAATTCAATATCACAAACTTGCTTCGTAAAATAAGTGTACTTGCCAATTTGTATTCAGAACTATCAAAAAAATTATAAAGGTACGAGCGCACTTAACCGGTGCATAAAATTAGAGTTTAGAGTGACGCTTTAGTCAATTAAAAATTTCAATTTAGAAGCGAAAGTTTTACAAGACAAATTAGATCGGTTTCGCCGTATAACATTGAACTTATTTGACCTTTTTAGTGCGCTGATAATAATTCAGAAAGCGGAAAGATGTTTGATAGCAGACCACATAAATAGAAAGTTAATTGCATGCTCGTTTGCATACAAAGAGGTAGTCAAAAAACCTCGGCAGTATTCCTTCCAGAAGTCCAATTTCCGTTCTAAAGAACCATCTTTTCAGAGAGTACCATAAGGAAACCATCGATTCTACAAAACGCTCTAATTAAGGTAACGTAATCATTTTGATTTGTGTTCAAATAACGATCGACTCTCTTTAAGAATCAGAAGGATTCGATTTTTATAAATTGGTTGAATGGAGAAAAATCGTATCGTATTGTAACGTGATTTATAAATTCGGGTTCGATTTATATCAATATTTATTAAACAAAACTAAAACACTATAAAAACCGTACAATTTATATCGATTATTTATATCACACACACTTCGCAATTTATATTTCCGCGCTCGATGTTTCGTCCGTACTCGTTCGGTAGTAGACTGCCGCGATGTTCGGTCCGCAACCATTTATACACGCAAGCAATGTAAGTCAAGACACTCGCGTAATTTTCCGGATAAGTCTGGAATATTTCTATACAAATCCCACTATCGCGCGCGTAGAAAATTCCAGAGCGCCAAAGGCGACGTCATGTCTGGAGCGTTTCCGTTACAGTATTAAATAATTATGTTTGAACATATTTAGAAGAAATTTTTTTTTTTTTTTTGAAATTGTATTGCCAGTTAAAAGGAGAATATTCGTAGGTATAATTCCGGATTCCATGCGAATTACCCTAAAAGTAGCACAAAGTCGCAAAAATGGTACTGGTGGGCAAACTGCAAACAGTAGCATACTTTGTAACGAAGCACCTATTTTCCACCTTAAAGATTACATACTTTCATGAGCACCCGGTACGTGAACACCCGGTAGCTGGAGGCGTAAAGTTTTGAGGACAGTGATTTTTGTTGGTTCTAGGAGTTGAAGAAAGAAGTTAAAGATTTTCCTAAAGTTTTGTTTCAGCCGCCGTTACCGTAAACAAAAGCCGTAATTAATTCACCGTTTGCAACCGTTCCCGTCAAAATATTTTAATTAGGTTTGTTGCGTCCGAAAGCTTTTGTCATTTAGAAGACAACGAAAGCAAATCAATAGTTTAGAATTTCAGTCCGGTTACGTAATTATTAGACGATTTTGGTTTGCTTTGTTAATTTAAAACGAGCATTTAAACTGCAAGGCCATGCAGGCTTACGCCGGTATCAGTTTGATAAAGAGACCTTTTGCAGATCTGCGAGAAATTCCAAGGGACAATGGGAGTTATAGTTTGAAGTATGAATTTATAAATTTCGCACATTCAAGTGAGTAGTAGCAGTAGCTAATTTAATGAGTTGCAAAAAACAACGTCCGATTAAGTCGTGAGTGAAAAGAACAATTTTGTGGTCATTGTAGTTATCCCACGAATAGTGAGGCTGTTGTAAAGCATAATCGACATAAGGGAATGTCAGCGAGTTGTACAATTGAGAACGCTAGAAATTGAATGAGAAATTGTGATCTTTATTTGTAATTAGGAAATTAAGTTAATTGCATGTTCAAGCTAATTCAAGACAGCATCAAATACGTTTCAGATAGGATAGGATTAGGGAGAAGGGAGATTAGTGGTTCTAGTGTTAATTTGAATTGCGAAAGATTAAAGGCGTCTTTACACTGAAGCAAAGACGCCACGCGACATCATGAAGAGCCATAAGCGTGATATAATATAGAAAAGATGATAGATACATTAAAGATTAAAGCGGAAAAATCTTATGAACACCAGAAATATTATATCATGGACAGGAAAGTAACGTTGTGTAATCTTATGCTCTTTATATCATTACATTAGGTACACTCACTCAATCTTGCATTTCTTCGTTAGGCACATTTTGTTTCTCGAACGCCGCACCACGATAGAAATAAATGAAGGGATTAAAGCTTGCGCCCGTTTTGCACTTCAAGTGCAAATTACCTTGTAACCATAACAAAAAGTGGATGGAACGCCTTTCAATTAGCGTTCACTGCCTCTCGAGGTTTGTAATATACAATCTACGCTCGTAAATATAAAGAGGAAAAAAACCGAAGTGAGAGTAGTGATGTATAAAGACCACCTGTGCCTATATCGTAAAACTGAAGAGTAAATAGCGATGATTAAAACCATAATTAAAACATTTTTGTTACGAGCGAGTACCGCAATTAGTGATGGAACATAAGCAATATTATACGGCAATAAATTAGAGAAGATGCCTCGGCAAAATCCCCATAAAGTTTTTAATGGGCATGAGAAATCTCGACTCCGAAAAGGAAACTGCTTCATTGCTTCAAATACGTCTATTTAAACATGAAATAATTCATGGTCAGTTACGTGTAGATGTTGTAATTGTGAAATACGAGACGATGTTAGTAAATTTATTCGAGCATGTACACTTCCGTTCTTGCGATTGATCATTATTGGTGAGGGGCATAATTACTGTCGAACCAAAAGATGATCTGAACATAAATTCATTACCTATTATTACGTAATAGGTATTAAATGACACATTCAGAACAAGTTACTCAGTTACTGTAACTGGTGTCTTAACAGCTACGTGTCGAGGACGACGTTTCTTTGATTTTGTTTTATTTTAAAATACGTCATATGCATTGTTGTGTAAACAACGTCATGTAGACGATATTTCTGTCTCAACACCAAAAGTAATCATGAGACACCCTGTATATGAAAATATTTCAATTTATTAAGTGTACATCTTGTGGATTATTTATGAATAAGAATAAATCTGGTTTATTGTGCTTGAATTTGTTATTTTAGTGTCTATTTTTCCTTTTAGAATTGTTCATAATTGCGTATTATTTTTTTGTTTAAATTTTATCGTTTCGTAGATTGTTTATTTAGATTTGTTTGTTTAATTCTAGAACGTGAAATTGCATATTAAAATCTAGGCACATCTGGTCGTTTACGATAAGAGGTTTTGTTATCGGAAGAGATTTAATCAACGCGTGTGTTTCTATCGCTGTTAGAAGAGATGGAACAATTGTGCGTGGGTTCTGCGTTGTCCGAGCAGTCACCGAAATTCTTTTCATCTTGTTTATCAAGGCAATTCGAATCATTAAGTTCAATTTATTGAAGAATAAGTCACGTTTTTTGAGGCGGTCATTTGTGTCTTTGACGCCTGAATATCGCGAACGTATCCGAATAAATAGTCAATCCGTTAATCGGGTGTTTATTCGAATCATTTGTGCGACCCAAATAGAGTTTTCATATCAGATTTTTCTATCCATGCCCAGGAATTATTTCAGGTGTGAGTCAAAATTTGTGTAATAAATTCTTTGGAATTATCTGAAGTTGATCGAGGCCGCTGAGTCTCTCCAAGTGAGAAGTTTTAGGTCAGTATCAGGATTTTTTATTATAGCAGATGCCGGATGGGTACCAGGAGAGATTATAGAATTCTAAGCTTCAATTTTAATTTGATTTGTGCTAGCAGATGTGTAAGCATTACGAGGAGGGACCTTCAATTAAATTTTGTTCTGACTTTACCTGGAATACTGCTTGCATTTTCACCTGTTTAATTCATGGTAGCCAATGCCTGAGCAGAGCCATGCCATTTTGATGTTTTTTAGATACAAGGAATTTGTTGTTTTGTCTAAATTAAACCGTAGATGGGTTTAATGTGTTTTTCTACTCATTGTGTCACTTGTATCTTGTTTTTATTAGTTTGTTTAACCGCATTTGACTCGATATCTGACTTTTACTGTACGGGTTACTAGCGGGAATGAAAGCAACAAAACACAAATTAATTAGCGATGTCTACGGGAAAGCAAATGCAGGAAACCTTTCTAATTATTAATGACACAGAAAGTAGTAAAAAGCTTACCTTGCAATTAAACGGAGCGGTAGAATTTGCATGACTGCAAAATAACTTTACGGAAAGTATCAAAAATTAATTCGGTACTACAAATTAAAACTTTTTTAATTAATTGTGCGGCCTGATGACATCCTACAAATCTGTAATTGATCATAAAATTCAAACCAATTAAGAGCGCTTCTAGCGTGATGCGACGAATCACGTCAGGAAAAAAATCGCTCCCGATACTTTTATCAGACCCCGTATGTTCTTAAAGACAACCATCTCTGGGCAAATTAAAGTCGTTTGTATTGCATGTATTTTATTATTGGAGAACTTATTGATATTGGAATTGTTTTTTTTCTGGCTATTTATCTCTGTTGTCCAAACATTTTCGTTATCCAAGGTTGATCCGATAGTAAAGTCTTTATCAGTAACCGCCAGTCCGTTAAAAGAATAAATTCCTGATTTTTGAAGACAGGAAATGGCTGACGGCAAATGCTTTTGAGTAAATATTTGGGTTGGATTGTTTTAGGGGCAAACCCGAGCATCACTTCCATTTGCAATGTTTGACACATGATTCATGAATATCGACCAATAACCCAATTTCTTAAAGCAAACATAAACTCCTCAATATTTGGGTCCATTAACAATAAAAGCAAATAGTGTAACCAATCTCCTCTTTTCGCAGGGCAGCGGTAGCTTGCTCAACTTATCTTTTGCCCTACGTTGGTGTAATTTTTCTTACCTGACTTACCGTTGTTATTGCAGTTACGTCGAGACCATTCTCAGATCGTCTTAGGTGGAAACATAATTATCCAACCTACAATTTTCGAAAAATTGATCGTATGCTTATCAAAAATAGTCCTCCAATTTAATCTTGTACTCTCTGGTTGTCTCAGAACCAGTATTTATGTCTTACCTTAAATTTTTTCACTCGTTCTTGTCTTGTGCTTTCTAGATCTGAACACAGGTAGCTTTCAATATGGAATTTTCGAATTTCTTATAGTAAATTTGAAGGTTAGAGGGTTTAGGCATTACATATCATAGAAAGTCTACAAGGTGTTAAAATTAGACTGGTGGAATTGTAAAAGTCCGAAAGGAACTGATGGAATTGGCGATCTTTTGTTCTGCTTATTTAAATTCTATAATTGTTCTCATATTTAGAAAGTCTAAAGGGCCCTACAGACGGACGCGCATCCAAAAACGTGAATGTGTATGCAAAAAACGTCACTTTTTTGAATGCGCAAGAATGACGACAGAAGTTTTGTGCGTGCGTACAAATAGTTTTCAACGTGTTGATGCAAATTGTGCGTCGCACATCAGCAGCGTCGCATATGATCAGGTAAGCTGCAGTGTTCTTTTGTTATATTAATTTGAAGTTGCTTATTTCTTTTTTGTGCACGCCACTGTTGCCAATGGCAAATCAACCAATTCATTAGACATCGCTCAAAATACTGCCAAATTGTAGGTGGGTCTGGAGGCAGTGATAGTACACTTTTTGTATGTGCGTTTTTGAATGCATGTACATGAGCGCGTACAAAAACGTCTGTCTGTAGCAGTCCTTAAGCTACAGCGAGTCGGAGATTTAGGAGGTAATCTTATCTCAGTAGGGTTTTTGTTTCAAAAAATAGCAGCTCGGGGATTACCAGTACGCATTATAGAAATACAATTCAGCACAATTCCCGTGTGTGGGTTTTGTTAAGGACACAGGCTAATTTTGCTTGAAGTCTGGGTTTTTTAAGAAAATGATTGATTTAATTACTAGAAACTATGAAAAAAGGCGTCAAATATTTAATTAAAAAATAGGGAGGGATTAGTCGGAGAAGTTTTTGAAGGTATTCGGTCTAAGACTATCAAAAGGGAACTACGTTCCGTTGCCGCAAAAAATTCTACCAGAGCGACGGTTCCTAATTTTTCGGGCAATGATTTAGAACGTTAATTTCTCGCGAGTTTTCCGAAAATTTTACAATTAAAAAAAAGTGAAAACATTACGACGCAAAAGTCCAAATTTAGCCCAACGAATATTTTCCGTCGGCAAGACATTAAAAGCGTTATCTAGAAATTATTTGTGCTAAATAAAAAAAGAGAGAATTTTGAATTGAATTTCCGTGCTTAGTTGTGAAAATACAGAGTGACCCAACGAGAAGTATACAGAGGGCTTTTGGGGTATTTAATTTAGAAATTTCGAAAAATCCTCGAACACGTCAATTTTGTATTCGAGGGGGACAACTTTTGGAATACAAATCACGAACCCAAGTCTTCACCTCTCTACGTAGGGAGCTTTACCCCTAAAATTTTAAATGGAATCCTATGGCAAATGGCACATTATTTGAAAGCCAATTTAATCGTGATTACTAATCTCCTTTGCTTTTTAAATTCTAATGATTCGTTTCGGAGATATTCGCATTTGAAATGGTTTCTAAAAAAACCAAAACTAATGCGATCTAAGTCACCTTGTATTAACATTTTTAATACAAGGTTTAAATTGTGCAAAAAATAACAAATAACTTTAAACACACAACATTTATTTCAATAAATGCTCGAATTGCCTTCCGCCTGATTCCATGCAATAATAAAGATTTGCAAAACGCTGCCGTACATGTTGCAAGATTTCAGGCGTAATCGCTCGAAATTGTTGAGTTATACCATAGTGTATTCTATTCTTACACTATGGTTACACGTGCTCGCAACCCTTGTAATGTTCCGGGCGGAGTAGCATAAACTTTATTCTTTAAATATCCCCACAAGAAGTAATTTAAAGGACTTAAATCAGGGGAAAAAACCATTTCAAATGCGAATATCTCCGAAACGAATCAATAGAATTTAAAAAACAAAGGAGATTAGTAATCACGATTAAATTGGCTTTCAAATAATGTGCCATTTGCCATAGGATTCCATTTAAAATTTTAGGGGTAAAGCTCACTACGTAGAGGGGCGAAGACTTGGGTTCGTGATTTGTATTCCAAAAGTTGTCCCCCTCGAATACAAAATTGACGTGTTCGAGGATTTTTCGAAATTTCTAAATTTAATACCCTAAAAGCCCTCTGTATACTTCTCT